CCTAAAAAGTAGAAAGCCTGTGGAAAGAACTGCCCCCTCTCATCTTTGGCTTCCCTTTAAAAACTTTCAAATTTAGCTAGGAATTTAATGTATATATTGGGGTTTTTTTTTGGGGGGGGGGAGGTTATATCTATGCCCCAGCTGAAGAGCCATGTACCCAGTATCTTAAATATATTCCCCCAACTGACTGACTGTGTGTGGAGCCCTATATCTTGGGGGTGGCCCAACCCATAAAGCTAAGACAATAGGAGAGGAATCAAAGACATGAGGCAGAAAAATTGTAGGAGAGGGTGGACATTTGAAGGATGATGGTTCAAGGAGACAGAGGAATGGTCATTGGGTGAGAAGACCTCATTCTGCATCCCACTATTGAGGAGAAAGCATCAAGGATTGATGGAAGTTCTGTGTAGCCCAACCAGTAGCCATACCAGAAAGCAGTTTGGAAGAAGCATTAGAAGTACCAACCAACAACAGTGGTGAGTGAGGAAAAGCAGATGAAAGAGAAATCAGTACTCCAGGATCTGAGTATATTCCACTGAGTGGGACATTCATCAGGGGCTGGGAAGGAAAGAAGACAAGGGACATCTGAACCATGAGTAGAAAAGTAGATATTCCTTGCTAAATCTAAGCACTTGAACTATGTCAGAGAACACCTGACTATAGACTAGAAGGGCTGCCTGGGCATGGGAGGAACTGAAAACATGCACTCTGTATGGTAATAATTTTTGATATATTTGGTTTATTCTTTTCGCTTCTATGGATGCAAGTCAAGATTGTATGTACAATTAAACCATTCTCATGGGATCAAGCACATTACTATGCTTGTGTGATTAGGATCCATTGAAACGCAACTTAAAGAAGAAAAGAATTTTCCCAGTAGAGGTTGGTGAAGAAGAACCAATAGAATAATTGAATATACATAGACCTTGGGCAACTAGGTGTAGAAGCGCTGGGCCTGGAGTCAGGAAGACTCATCTTCCTTAGTTCAAACCTGGCCTCCGACACTTACTAGCTGTGTGACCAGGGCAAATCACTTAACCTACCTAAGTTTCCTCATCTGTAAAATGAGCCAGAGAAGGAAATGGAAAACCATTCCACTGTCTTTGCCAAGAAAACCCTAAATGGGATCATGAAGAATTGGACATGACTGAAACAACTGAACAACAACACAGACCACAACCACAGAGTAATGAGATGCACGTCGCCATCCACAGTGTCCCACAAAAAGGTTAGGGCCAGACGATAAGAGGTCACCAGATTTTGATAATCCCAGAAAACTTGGTGTTTTTCCTGAATGCCTTTTGCTGTTATGTGGATCAAATAACATCACAGGATCAGCAATCTCTGGCCCTCATCAACAAATAGGGTCAGATAACTGGGAAGGGAGCATCCACTGATAGTTAAACCAGGTTATCAACTTGATGCTTTAAGAAAGCTAGCCAGCATCTATGACTAACACAGCTATATTATTGTTGTTGTTATTATTTCATACTTCTCATCTTTATGCTCAATTGTGTTCAGATACAAGTTTGGTCTTGGGACAACTTTATATCCTAACATGGTTTCTTTATGCCTAATATTTAGTGGACCATTGAGTGGGCAAATAACTCATTTTTATAAAACGAAATTCAGGTACATAAACTCATCTTCTATAGGCTCAATAAAAGCATCTTTGGAACAACTTCACCAGCAGATATGATGACAGGGATGATGTATATTTCTTCCAGTTCCTACAATGTTTCGATTTTTTTTTACTGTGTCTCTATATTTCAATAGCTTTTTATACCATATAGTTTGGAGGTTATGAATGTTTGGTGTAGCAATATCTATTAAAAACATTGTTGTTAAAAAACAACTAGCCAATACCCTTAAGTTTTTGAAGGAGTTAAAAACTTCAGATTCAAAGAAAAACAACACCTTGCATCTACAGAAGACATACAGGGGCAGCTAGATGGCACAGTGGATGGAGCACCTGGAGTCAGGAGGACCTGAGTTCAAATGCAGCCTCAAATGCTTGATGCTTATTACTAGCTGTGTGATCCTGGGCAAATAATCCTACTGCCTAGGAAAAAAAACCAAACACATACTGAGTATTCAAAGTCCTTCAAAATATGACTTCAACTCTTCCTTATCCAAAAAAGAAAAATTAACACTTCGTTCTCCAAGTATTCTAAATTCTAGCCAATATGTCTTCTATTCTTATCTTTTACTTATGACATGCCCCATACCTGGAATGGCTATACCTCCCTTCTCCCCTCCTGCCCCATCCCAGCAACTTTATCCGTTGATATCTGTCTTCCTTGAAGCCAAAGTTTAGGGTGTCACCCCCTCCACCTTTCCATGAAGCTTTTTCTCCCTTATCCTAGGGGGAAATGTTGTTCTCTCCCTCTTCAAATGTCTATTAGAACTTTGTTTGAATTTCTCCTTAATATTCTAAGACCTTAGCATAATGCTTGGCACTTAGTAAACACTTAACAGATGCTTGTTTATTCATTCACTCCACTTTCCCAAGCACAATAGTTATGTGTTGGGGGGGGGCATCTCCAGTTGTCCTGATCTATATCTGGCCACTGGACCCAGATGACTCTGGAGGTGAAAGTGAGGCTGGTGACTTTGCACAGTCCTCCCTCACTTAAATCCAATTCACTTGAAAGTCATGGTGTCATCTTCCTGATGTCATGGTCCTCTTCAAGAACAAAGGACAAACCACAGCCACAAGTTATGTGTATATTCATTCTGTTCCCCTATGAGTAAAATTCATGGCTCAGAATCAAAGCTCTGAGCTCAGAGAAACTGGGTTCAGTGTTGTGGTCTTCTTTTTAAAAAAATACCTTTGGCTGTGCCCCCATCAAAGGTGTCCCTTAGAAACATCAGAATTTTAACCTTTTTGCCCTCAGGCTTTCTCCTGACAATATCAAAACTTAACTTGTATTTTGGTTTCTCAGTGCCCACACTAGCACTCTGGCTAACAAGACACTGAATATGAAATAGGCTTTATTCAACCTGACAAACGTGCAAAGGACTAGTACTGGAGCCCCCAAATAGTAAGTACCTTTTTCTCTGGTGAGCTTCACTTTCCTCAGGGACCTTACACATAGTCCTTCATACTAATGGTGCTACATTAGTCACCTTTCCCCAAAGGGGAAGCACTTGAGATGTTGAGTCCAGTTGTCCCCTCTGGTGAGCCCTATCTTCCTCTGAGAGACTGTATGGTTTCACTAGACTTGTAGGGCCATCTCTTACCAGTGAAAGGCAAAGGCTAGGTTTGTTCTTTCTCATAGCCGTTTTTTATCTCTTTTATTTCAGTCACCATAAATCCTGGCTTAAAATAGGTATATGACATGGCCCAAGAACTCCTTGCTGTTCCAATGCTGCCTCTGTCCATTACCATCCCTGGAGCCACTTGGTTCTCTGGAGGACCTCAGTTCTTCTCTGGAGGGGCCGTGTGATTATGGAGGCTTCCTTCTAGGAAATCCAGTCCTTTTTTGTACATAACCCCTCTCTTCTCTCTCTGATCTTTTCCCAACACTCTAGAATCCTGCAGTCTATGTTTAGCCAGCTTTTAGAGATAAAACCAAAGGTATTTGAACACTATCAATGCTGTATCAATGTAGAAATCAACATGGCCAGGGAGTAATAGTGTTTAGTCAAAGAGTTAAACTTTGTTCTGGAAAGTTTAGGATAAAATTTAGGGAGGCAGGTTTCCTTCTAGGGCATTTCTAAGCACACTTTCTGCTATGTAAACCCCTCCAAAGCAAGGCTCCTCAGTATATAGTCTTTTCACTATTCTTGTGTCTGAGCCTAAGATTTCATCTCTATAGGAAGTTGTCAGATGAAGAAATCCCTCCTACCAATGCAGATCATCAATTGTTCTGCAATTTATAGTCTTAGAAGAGTTTCCTGGAGGCACAAAGACTTTAAGTGACTTTAGGGGAAAGTGTCACACAGTTAGTATGTGTCAAGAGGACAGACTTAAAACTCCAGGCCATCTCTCCATCTTCTACAGCTCAGCCGCCTTGACCTTAGTAGGTGCTTAATAAATGTTAGTCTAATTGAAAGAGTTCAAAGTATATTACCGGTATTATTTTGTGCCTTTTGACAAGATCTGGGACAGGCAGAGTTGCTGATTACCCTCAATTTTACAGAGGAAGAAACCACCAAGAAGAGATGTTTAATGAATTATCCGGTCACACAGTAAGCCAGGGTCTTCTTGATTCCAATTTAGGGCCGTTAACGCTCGTCACAAGGCTATGGACACTACTTAACAATTCAAGGCCCATAATTTGGCAAGTCACCTTCTCCTTCTCACAAGGCAGTTTCAGCTTGAAAAGGAAAAGCTGCCTCATCTGAAAATAACATCCTTCATAAAGCAGCACTCCAGAGTTTTTATTCTGGTAGTTTGGAACAATCCTACAGAAAATGTCACATTAACATTTATAGTTGTCTCTTTTGCCATAGCCCATCTGAAGACTGGCCAGGCTTCGAATATTCTCAATATCTCTTCAATAAAAGGGTGGGGGTGGGGGTGGAAATCAGACAGGGTCACAAGGCTTGGTTGGGGCCAGTCCCGACCTGGTAAGCTGAGGCTGACTAAAGCAGATATCGTCAACAGGGTTTCACTTGACAATTCAGGTAAAAAAGGCCCTTCCCTTCTGGTCAGTTTCATATCTCTCACTGCTCCTTCCAGAATTTCTAAATGATGCTTTTCCCTTCCCTTTCCTTTTTCCCCTTCAGAAAATTCACCAAGGCTTTCCGCCAGAAGGAGCTGGGGGCGGTGGAAAACCGACCTGTGCAGACTTCGGATTGGTTTGTGTTTTTTTTTTTTTAAAGCTAGGGACCAAAAGATGCATAGGAGATGGAGCTGTCCTTCCTTTTTTGAAAAGTGGTGTGAAGGGAGGGAAGGGAAGCATTGTTATTTTAAGGAGGAATTCTTGCACTCCCCCACCCGAGTGTAGGTCGTATGTGCGCAAGGTTTGCTGGGAACCATGGAGAGGCTTCTGATGCTATTGCTGCCACCGCCGCTACCGCTAGTGTTGAGACAGCTGCCCATGGTAACCTGATCCAGCCACTGAACAGATTGCTGGATGGGCTGAAGCCAAACCGAGGGACCACGGGAACAAAAGCCGTAGGAGCTGCCTCCAGCACCCGGGAAAGTGTAGTAAGTAAATCGCGCTTGGGATTCGGTTGCAAAGGATGCCATTCCCCGGGTACTTTTTGATTGTCTCCCTTGGAATTCTTGGTTGGGGTGAGAGTGGCAAAGGAGGCGGCGTTTGGGGAGCTGTGTGGTGTGGTCGGGTCCGGCGGCCGTGCGGTGGGCTTCAATTAGGTGGCTCCTAGGTAGAGTGTGTGCGTTGAGGGGTACTAGAGGAGGAATTTCTAAGAGCTCCCGCAGTGACCGTGGGATGCCTAGGAAACAGAAGGGCCGCTTGGCTAGAAGGGCGCTTTGTGTCAGTGGTCCGCTGCACCAGCTGCTGGGGGCACAGAGTATCCATAGCCCAAAGTCCCCTCCTCCACCCCTAAGGAAGAACCTGAGATTGCTTGAAATAGATTTTGGAGACTCGTGGGGTCCTTTATGTGTCGAGTCACATCCATGACCCTAGCCCGCTTTCCTTAGGCTCTTCCTAGTCCTAGGAGTGATCTATAAACTTTTTCTTCAAATAGGTTAAGGCAGGGGGATTCCTGCACAAATTCACTTTCTTAATTTGAAAGGCATTATTTGCGTATTTTTCTTTGTGAAGCTGGATCCTCTCTGTATTTTAGGCTGCTGGTTTAAGCCCTAAATAAATACTGTTAATCCTCCGAGGAATCCTCCATATGGGGGGGTGGGAGTGGGGGTGGAATCGCTTCACCTTCTCCCTAGTCATGACTTAGCAATTTGCAATTAGGAAGGAAATTGTATTCTGTGTAACCAGGAGCTTGGATACCCACCCCGCCACTGACGACCCCTTGAATCCCGGCATAGTAGAATCTCAGGCCCTGAGAGATTACAGGCTCTGTTTGGAAGAGCGATGGGAACTGCTTTCTGGCCCCCCCCTTCTCCTCTCCTTCCCCTCCTCCAGCTTGGCTTTCTAGGATACCACTATTATTATTTCCTTTCGGCTAGCCTGCTACCTAATCCATTATCGGATTAATGGTAGTGGGGGATGGGGTGGGAATGGGGTCGGTAAGGGGAAAAGAGGCAGGGAATGCATTTAAGCACATTTCACTTTCAACAGATATTGAATGTTCACTCTAGTAAAGATCTATCCTAAAGGGCTAGGGGCTTAAGCGGGGAGCACAGTGTCCAGAGCAAGGGAGGTGATGGTTCCCTTCTACACTGTCTTCCTCAGGCTACATCTGTTAAGTAGCAGGGTCATCAACAAGCTTGAATAAAGGTTGAGGTGTGCATTTTTGTTGTTGTTCAGTCCCGTCTGACTTTTCATGACCCCATTTAGAGTTTTTTTGGCAAGGATAGTGGAGTGGTTTGCCATTTCCTTCTCTGGCTCATTTTACAGATGAGGAAACTGAAGCAAATAGGTTAAGTGACTTGCCCAGGGTCACGCAGCTAGTTGAACTCAGGTCTTCCTGACTCCAAGCCTGGACCTCTATTCACTGTGCCTCCTAGCTGCCCAAGTGTGCATATATAAGGAGTTCAGCTAAAGGAATCTGAGCTGAATAGTTTTGAGAAAACATGGCTTAGAGATGACATTGATTGGATCACAGGATTGAGAGCTGAAAGGAGCCTTAAAGATCAGCTTCTTCAACCCCCGGAAGAAAAAAATTTTTTTTTCCTTAAAACCTTATTTGCAAAAGAGGAAAGTAACTTATTTAAGGATACAATCAGTAAGTAGTAGAATAGGAATTTGAGATAGGATTCTCTGGCTCCAAATTACATGCTTTCTATTATACCGAGTTGTTCCTACTTCTATACCTGTCTTCAAATATTTGAGAGGTTCTACTGTAGAAGAGGAATTAAAATTGTTCTGTTTGTCCCAGAGGTCAAAACTAGAACTAAAGAGAAGTTACAGGTAGGAAAATTTCAGCTTAACACAAGGAAAAACTTCCTTACAATTCAGCAGTCTTAAAAAGAAACAAAAGCCTTCAGTTCTCCATAACTAGAGGTCTTCAAAAGGAGGTAAATGATAAATTGTCTAGTAGGCTGTAATCCAGTAGAATTCATATTTTGGGCAGGGATTAGACTAAGTAAACTTTGATTTTCCTTCTAGTTCTTCAATTTGGTAAATCGTTGCTTTCTGTGAATCTATCTGATTTTTTTTTTAATTTTCCCCTTGTTTTCCACAGCTGCTCCACAAACTGGACAGGGCTGAACCATGGTGGACCCTGTGCCGGAAGAGGAAGAGGAAAAGGCAGGAGCTGAGCCAAGCAGTGCTGGAGAAGATGGAGCAGCTGCATCTGCATCCTCTGTCCCTACTGGTGCCCAGCAACTGCCCACTGCAACATCTTCTGCCCCACCAGGTGTACCCAGCAAAGCTGAGGGTCTGGCAAGCTACAGGGAAGGCCGGCAGCGGGAACAGTCGCCTATGCTGCACCTTGATCTATTCAACTTTGACTGCCCAGAAGCAGAGGGCAGCCGCTACGTGCTCACCAGCCCCCGCTCATTGGAGGCCTGTGCTAGGTGTGCAGTTAAGCCTGTGGAGCTGCTGCCTCGGGCGCTGGCAGATCTGGTGCGTGAGGCGCCAGGCCGCTCTATGCGGGTGGCTACAGGACTTTATGAAGTGTATGAGGCAGACCGCCTAGCCAAGCTACAGCAGTGCCGGGCTGAGCGGGAGCGCATCATCAAGGAGGAAAAACGGCGTCTCTTCACCCCCCTGAGCTCCACCACCCCAGCCCAAACCGTAGGCCCCGTCCCGACTGCAGCCCAGGGCAGCAACAGTAGCTGCAGCAGCAGCTCAAGCCTCCCAGCTTCACCTGCTCCCCGCGCTCCCCGTGCTCCCCGCAAATCCTCTTCGTCACCCTCCCCAGCTAGGACCAAGCCTAGTCCAGCTGCTTCCCGACCAGGCAAAAAGAGCCACTCGCTAGATTCACTGTCCCGCCGGCGAGAAGGGGCCCTAAGCTCAGAATCTGGGGCCTCCTCTTCGTCTTACAGTGGTGACAGCCTAAGGGAGCACTGGCTGCCCCGGAGCCCAGCCACCAGTGGCCTCCTCCCAGGGTCTGCTGCCTCAGCCCCCAATTCCCAGACTCGGCCGTCCGCCCTCACCTTGACGCCCTTGTCAGGTCGCAGCTTCAGCTTGAGCGACCTGTGCCACTCACCCCAGACTGCTCGCCACGTGGAAAGAATCGTGCGCCAGGTGAAGGAGGAGAGGGGCCTCCGTGGGTTGCCAGAGCGGGACCGTAAGATTGCCGCCCTTATGCTGGCCCGCCACCAGGAAGAAGAGTTGCTTCGCCAACAGCAAGCATTTGCCCACGGCCAGTGGGAGCAGCAGCGGGCCAAGGCGTGCAGCAGCGGGAAAAAGAGGAGAAGGAGAAGCAGCGGGCCCTGGCGCAATGCCGCCAGGCCTGGGCAGCACAAGTGGAGGAGCGCCTGGGGAGGCTGGGCCGCGAGGAGCAGAAGGCTGCCAGGCGGCTGCGGTGCCAGTACGCTCGAGGCGAGGCACAGCGGCTTGAGCTCGTCGAGAGGCAAGGGCAGCTTCGGCTAGAGCGGGCTCAGAGGGCGGCCCTGGAAGACAGAATGCGTAAGCTGCAACAAGAGCACAACCTCAAGCTGTGGGAAGAAGGTCGGCAGAAAGAGAGAGAGCGGGCTGACCACGCCCAGCGGGAGCGGGCGGAGAGGGCAGCCCGGACCAAGCGCAAACAGGACACTTACTTACAGAGGGAGAAGCAGCAGCTCAGCCGGGCCGAGCGGGTACATCACGAAGCACTGTTACAGGGGCTGGCCCGGAAAGAGCGGAAGGAACAAGAGGGCCTGCGCTTGTCACTGGAAGCGAGTCTGGAACGGGCGCAGGAAAACTATGAGCAGCTGATGGAACAGCGAAGCCGGCATTTGCGAGAGAGAGCACGGAGGGAAGAACTGCAAGGCAGACGGGCCAAGGAGGTGGCTGAGCGCAAGGGCAGAGAGCACCAAGAGCACCTGGAGGCGCTGGCCAGAGCAGGAGAACAGCGGATGCAGCATGCGACGCAGGTGGTGTCGGAGGCGGTGCAGCAGAAAGCCCGTCGGATAGGGCAGAGTCGGCTAGAGAAAGAACGAGCGCAGCGGGCCAACAAAGAAAAGGTGGACCGCGAAGAAGACAGCCGCAGGCGGGAGCTGCAGCAGGCCATCGAACGCAAGTGGGAGCGGAGTGAGCGCCTGTCCCGAGAGAGGCGGAGCGCCTTGGAGAATGCCCGCTCCACTGCCCGCGCTTCTTTCCACGTACGAGAAAAGGTGCGCGAGGAGACGAACACGCGCACTTTTGACCGGATGGCCTTGGAAGCCAAGCTCCATGCCAGTCTGGGCAGGAAATGAGGGAACTTTAGATTGAATGGGCCTTCCAGGCACTCTTTCACTCAACCTTTCCGCTCCATGCCTCTGGCCAAGTCTTTGGTTTCTAAAGAGGATTGGGAGAAGGAAGTACCATAGGACTTCTCCTTACCTCTCCCCACTGAGGCAACGTTCAACAAGGAAGAATACGAAGAACTTTTCAGAGTCCACCCTGAATTTCTAAGAACTATATTTCTTTGGGGCCCTGGGAGCTAGGGCTCAGCACAATTCATGACTTCTCTCACCTGTGTTGTATCGTCCCGTAAGCCCTTACCAAGCCTCTTTTGTGCTCCTGGGAGGTTTCTTGGGAATAAGCAGAGAGGAGCTGGGGAGAAAGGGTATTCTAGTGATCCATATTCCAAGTTACTCCATCACTTTTCAGGTAATAGCACAAAACTTACTACAGCACCTCCCTCTCTCGCTCCGCTCCTCCCTTTTCCCCTTCTGTGGCAGCTGCTGTCTACACCTTTCTAAACAGGGTTTTGTTTTAAGTGCCGTGATTGAGTGGAGAAGTAGTAGTGGTTGTCATTGACAGGGACACTTTCTAGCCCTCTTCCTCATCTCGAAAAAGAAAAGTACAGGTACAGCATCTGGGAATACTCAGGAAGGGAAACACCATTGCAAATTTTAGTCCCGCCCAAGGTTATACAGGAAACTGGACAGGTTTTTCCTTTCAGGTCCTGCAAATCTATATTAAAACCTGAAAGAACTCTAGTTTCAGAGACTGCTGTGTTCTTTCCTGATTAAAGCGTTCTAGTGATGATGGTGGTTAGGTGTTTGTTAACAGACAGTCCCAATGTAGAGTATGGAAAGAACTTGTAACCAGGTTGCTTTAATACTTACCAGAGAGCAGTCATGCCTTAAATAGCAGTGCTGTCCTCATGTGCCTGCCTTAGCTCATCCCTGATCATTTCTCCACTGCTTTGCCCTCAGAACATCAACTCCAAGGTGGGCCCCTGTTTTGGCCTCTGTGGTACAACTATGAGCTCCCTACAGCTCTGTTGGCAAAGCTGTGTGTTCTGGCTCCACTGTGTACCAGTTCAAGTCCAGAATTGTCTGTCTGCAAAGTGCGGCATTCAAATAGACATCTTTGCTCTTATAGCCTATTTGCTGATATTTCTCTTCCTTCCTGTTGTTTTTACATGAGAAAAAAAAAGTAAGGATTGTCTATCACCCAGATTGTTCATTATATAGGCTCCTTCTTTTCCCTTCTCCCAATTAGAAAAGGAGTTTTGTTGTCATTTTCATAGGCGTGCCCAGACTCCTATCTTAACATCTCTGTTCCCTTCCCTTCCACTTGAAGTTATTTATCTAGTTTCTCTGTTTTGTTCTTTCCATCTGCCACATGGAGATAGTGATACTCTTTTTCTAGCACCTCCAGTTCTCCAGGATTAAAGGCACTGCATGAGTATTAACTATGAGTATTGTTAATGCTTTTTTTTCTCCACCTAGGGGCAAGAGGAAGAAAAAGCTGTATCACTCTAAGTAGGGATAGGGATTAGTCATTAATATAGGGAAGTCCTAGATGAAGAAACTTCCTCTACAAATGCCAGTCAGCATTTTTTCTGCAACTTGGTTTTAAAGAGTTTCCTAAAGCATTAAGAGGTTAAATGACTTGCCCAGGATCACACATCCATAACGTGTCAGAGGAGAGGAGAGATTTAAACCCGGGTTTTCATGGTTCTAAGGCTTTTTATTCATTCTACCAGGGCTGCTTCACATCACCCTAATTCTTTGCTGAAAATAGGGATATCACAGAATCCTAAAGATGGAAAGGCAGGAATGTCTGATTCGGGAGACCCCTCTACAATGTCAATTGATTATCTGCCTTCTGCTTGAACATTTCCAGGGACAGAAAACACACAACTTTAAAACTATTTGTATATTATTACTTTCATTTTGGAATATATCACTCCTCCTTTGCCCAATGAGCCATCAGTTACAATGATTTTTTTTAAAGAGAGAAAAAATAGCAATCTAGCAAAATTAATCAATGCCAACTTGACCGTACATGCAGCCTCTCACACCCATAGTTCAAAATCTCTGCAAAGAAGGGAGATAGCACACAATGCTTTTATAGGCAGGTTATTCCACTGTTAAATAGCTCTCACTGTTAATAATTATTGAATGGAAATTAGCTTCCCTCTGAAAAGAATTGGTCCTAGTTCCATCATCACAGAAGGAATATGGGAAAGCATTATTCTCATTTAAAAAATCAGAAGAGAAATGCATTCATTACATTTTGTGTAGTAGTCAGCATGGTACAGAGGAGAACATGCTGGACTTAGATTCAGGGAGGCCTGGGTTCAAACCCCACTTCTGACACTTTCTAGCTGTGTGACCCTGGACAAGTGACCTTTCTCCAAGACTTATCTAAGTCATAATGAGTTGCTATCTGCCTCAGTGGAGGGAGTTCTGGAGAGGTAGGGTGCTTCCCACTAACGAAATCACAGATGCTTCAAAGATACAGTAGGCAGACTTCTTAAGGTTTTTGTCAGGTGCTGTTGAGGATAGATGTAGGAGAAAATGATGTTTTCATATTAAACTTAAGACCCTGATGAAACCAGACGAGGTATCGATGTTCCCAACTTTGATCTGGAAAAGGATTTTTCATCCATAGAATTTTTCCTTATTGGAATCCAAATGTCAGCCTCTTATAATGACTAGCATTGTTTATTAGTGAAGGCTTTAACTAAAAGATTTTAATGCAGTTGTGGCTACTTTACCTTGGTTTCCTTTACTGAATGTTAAAGGGCATTCCAAACTTTAATGAAAAAATTAAATCAGAGATTTATTTTTTCATAGGTTCTCACTCTCCCTCTCTCTCTGTCTCTCCATATGTGTGTATACACATATATTCACATATACATATGCATACATGTCTATATGTGTGTGTGTATATTCATATATATATATTTAAAATTTTAAATTGAAACAAGGTTTTGTGGGTAGAGCAATAATAGAAAGGTAGTTAGATAATATGACCTAGGTTCAGTCCAAGGTTGTTGTTTTTATTTACTTACAGTGTAACATTGGATACATCACCTCTGTGTGCCTCAGTTTATCTACCTGTAAAACAGGGATAATGATACCTGTTCCTCACCTATTTCACAGGGACATTGTGCAGATGAATGAGAATTTAAGTTGCACTCCCTTCTCCTTTCCTTCATTTATATCTGGTACAGTATTTGAAATCGCTATTCATTCCCCATGGGCAGCTAGGTGACATAGTAAATAGAGTACCAGGCCTGGAGTCAGGAAGATTCATATTCCTGAGCTCCAATTTGTCCTCAGACACTTACTGTATGACCCTAGGCAAGTCACTTAACCCTGTTTGCCTTAGTTCTTCATCTGTAAAATGACCTACAGAAGGAAATGGCAAACCACTCTGGTGTCTTTGCCAAGGAAGCTCCAAATGGGGTCACAAAGAGTCAAACATGACGGAGAAAACTGAATAACATTTGCTTCCCAATGAGCTACTGAACTACTGTGATGCTTTAGGGAGCTTATTTGGCTTATGTGACTATTCTGATATGGAAGTTGGAAGTCTCAAAAAGGTTCATCTTCAATCTGAATTACATTTGGCTGGAGAACCACAGATTTAATGTCACTCAATTAGGTGATGATCCTGGATTCCTGAGCTTAGAAAAAGGCCACATATAAATAAAAAAGTATTGGTTTCTCAAGAATAAAAAATAATTGTCCAGAGCGGTTACAATGATACTACAGCAGAAGCTAAAGCCCAAATTTAGTAATAGCAAAGCTCTACCAAGGCTCATTGTTAAGTAGCACAAAGGAGACTTCTATGATGTTGTAGGAAGAATGAACTTTGAAACTGAAGACCTAGACTTAAAATTCTAGCTCTGACACTATTTGTGTGACTGAGGGCAAATCATTTTACTTCTCCAAGCCTCAGTTTCCTTATCTGTAAATTCAAGGGTAATAACATTTGTCCTACTTCCCTCACAGGGTTTGGCCAACTTTTCCAGTACCCCAGCTCGGGTATCAACTGTTGCAATTAGTGGTCAAGTTGTTCTCTGGGTGAGGAGGTAAATATGTAGCCCAAGGAGGTACAATTAATTCACAAGCCCTCTCATTTTATAGGTGAGGATACAGAGGCTCAGATATACAGGATGCAGAGAGGTGATGCAAAGGGAAGAGGGTACTTGTTTTCTCCATCGGCTGAGGGGAATATAGAAGATTAATCTGGAAACCTATAAGAAGAATAAATTTAAAGAACGGGAAAACTTGACTTGGTTCTCCTGGCATAGGAATCCAAATGATAAGCCACCAGAGGATATCAGAATTGTTACCATTGTCACTTGGAAGATTTATTCCCACAGAACAGAGGGAATGAACGGGACCAAAGGAAAAAGATGTTTCAATTTGTTGGAACTTGAGGCCAGGTCAAAGTCCAGTGCTCTTCCCATGTGAACTTGTAGTCCTAGGTTGAATTAATGAGTCAAGAAAAGCTTATGTCATGTCCTGGACGTGACAAATACATAACAGGGTAGAAAGGAGAAAACTTCCTCCTGAATGTATATGGACTATCATTCTGCACAGTGTATGGTTTGGCAAGTATTATAGAATCATAAAATTAGGATTAAGCAAAGTTTCCACATGGCAAGGACCAAAGGGGATAGAAGCTGACTTAATTTTTATATATTTGTTTCCTATGAAGAGATGAAACATGATATAATGTGGGACAGGCACTGGATTCAGAAATATAAGACCTGAATTTGTGACCTAGCTTTGCTACTCACAAACTATGCCTGCCTTGCCTACCTCACAGGGTTGTTGTGAGGATCAAAAGGAGATCATGTATATGGAAAGGCTTTGTAAAGTATAAAATATTCTATAAATGTAAGGTCTAATTCCTGTAGTTATGTTTGCTCTGCCTCTTGCCTCCCCCAATTCCCTACCCTGTGTTTTTTAAACAATAGTAGTAACCGGAAAGTGCTTCTATTTTCTAAGAAGTTAACGGCAAGAGCCTCCAAAATTAAACAGGTAGGCAGTACTGTCAGAGCACTTCTTTGACTCACAATTCTTTGGGTCACTTCTGTTGCAATGTCAATTTAATAATAGTCTAGAGTTGATGAAAAGGGGACCTTTTATAAAAATCATTAGTATTGTGCTTAGCTCACATATGACACCCGGGAATAGTAAAGAGAGAAGAAGGAATAATAATAATAATGATAGCTGATATTTATATAGTGCTCTAAGGTTTACAAAGTGTTCATATATATATACATTTATATATATATATATATGTGTGTGTGTGTGTGTGTATGTATGTATGTATGTATATATACATATACAAATATGTACGTATATACTTGCATTATATATGTATATATGTTGATCATCAGTGTTCAATCACTCCTATTTCCCCTTCATCCTACTACTGACTTGCTTCCCTATGGGTTTCATAATTTTAACATTCTGTCTCTACTCTGGGAAGTAGTATAAAAGGATCTGTAATTCTCTTTATCTTTTTGTTAGCTCTGAGCCCCAGTGAGGGACAGTACTTTTGCCAAAAAACACCCCAGTAGTATTTCTATTCTTAAATTTCTCCTCAGGATGTTTCTCCTTGAATTTACTTTTCCTAACTCTGTTTCCAGTAAATACACCCAAACTAGCAAAAGCCTATGGTTAATATTCTTTATAATAATAAAGTAATTATCTAAAATAAAGAAAGGGAAGTAGACTTTCCCCAAACCCAGAGGAAAACAGATTACTGTCTCTATGAGAGAGCCAATAGGAAGATAGGAAATGCAGGATTACTGCCGTGGAGGTCTCTAGTTTGGGAGTATAAGCAACATCTGTCTTTGTATCTGATTGGCCCAAGGAGCATTGCTCCTGGAGTCCTGGCTTCTTTCTTCGTGGCAGTTGCTTCTGTCTACACTTCTGCTCTCCCTTATAAAAGGAGGGAGGGGAGGAAGAGCACAGGGAGTGGCCAATGAGAGCCTAGTCTTTATAAGCATTTGAAGTGTGCTGGGCTAATATTCTCACAACATGCTTTTTAAAAATATTGTATAGTTTTTTTTTGGTCAAACGTTTCCCAATTTTGATCTGTTTCAGGAGCACTCGGAGGAGTTTTGCAGGTCAATACAAGTTTGACATTTCTGATCCAGATTAAAAAATTATGGTAAATTAGGGAGAAAAGTCAACAATATAGGAGGCAGGAATAGAATCCAAAGTAACCTTGACAGTTAAGAGAAAATGCTGATAAGGGGCAAAGTAAAGTTTAGCATAGGCAAGTGCAAAATATTTTTTAAAATCATAAATATAAAAGAAAAAATAAAAGAAAAATCATAAACATAAATATAAAAATGAGTAAGAAACATAGAGACTCAGTTTCAACAGAAATATCTCTGTGGCTAAAAATGGATCACAAAGTAAATAAGAATAATTAACTCAATGTATATTAGAGTGAATTAATGATAGCATGATATGGAATATCCAGGAATTAACCCTCCTATTTTCTTAACATTAAGGATTCTTCATTAGAAAATCATATTCTGGGGCAGCTAGGTGGCGCAGTGGATAGAGCACTGACCCTGGATTCGGGAGGACCTGAGCTCAAATCTGGCCTCAGACACATATACTTACTAGCTGTGTGACCCTGGGCAAGTCACTTAACCCCATTGCCTAGCCAAAAAAAAAATCATATCCTTTGAGTAAAAGCTATATGAAGAAAAAGAGGCTCCAGAGGAAAGCAACAAAAATGCAGAAAAGAATGGGAAATGGGACCTATGGACAAAGGTCAAAAAGACTTACGGGATATTTTTTCTGGAGAAGAGAATGTTGATTTGTATCTGTTTTCAAATATAGAAAAAGATACTGGTCAGAGAGGGAGTGGGATTTTTGCTAACTTCCAAATACAACAGAGCAAAACAATAAGAAAGAGACATAAGTTGCAGCAGAAGAGAATTAGGTTATCTAAAAAGAATTTTTGGACAACTAAAGTTTTTAGACACAGGGCAGTTACATCGCGTGAAGGCTGAGAGATAGACTAGATGATGATATCTTACTGGTGATTTTTGTTCAGTATGTTCATGATTCTGTGATTTTCATTTCGTTCCTGGGCATCAGAAGGCAGTGAGAAAGCTGCCAAGGAATAGGATGGCACCTGTGTAATTGTCATACTGGTGAGGCCCCTTATTTCAGCCTGCTTCTCATAATGTGGCTGTCTCCTGAGCATATACTTGATAACCTTCACAAATCCCTATTAGGCCAGGATGAGTAATAACATGTGCTGATTTAATTTATTGTACTCCTTAAGTACCTCTATTCACTAGGGTAAGTCTGAGACCTAAGCATGAGGCAGAAAAACAACTTTCCTTCCTCAATTTAGAACAGTCATTGAAGTCCAATTGAGGTTTAATGAAAAGATCCCAGATTGATTTCCATGTAAGAAATATCCTATATGTACTGCCTCTTTGCCTCCTTACTACCCCCCTAAACAAGGAAAACCTAAGGGAAATATCTGTATTTCCATTTTGTTTCTCTCCTCCCGTCAATCTTAGCTGCTATTCTCCTTTCATTCTTTTACACATAGAGCATGATTTTCACCTATACCTCCAAACTCCAGTAGAGTCTGTATCTCTCTAGGAAAGACGGTCAGGAATTGCTCAAGTAGCAATAGTTCCAGGATTTTCTTCTTAGTGTGAAATGAAGCTCAGGCCTGAGCCATCTATGGCCAAGCTCTAAGCGTGTCATGAGCTTCCTATGGCTCAGCGGCTTCCTGGTAGTGGAACCATCAAAAACACTGCTGAAAGCTCTCAGGGCCGATGTCATCCACTGCTGCACCCG